AAACGAAAAAAATCCAGTTAAAAGTTTCTCCATTATATCTTTGTTATAATTTATTAAAAAAAATATAACAAGTATTTTCCGAATAATTTTTTTTTAACTCACTGTAAAGTAGGCTTTAACGTAAAATTTGACATTTTAAAACGTCAAAATAACAGGAACATCGATGACATTAAACTGAAAGTAAGGTTACTATCTAAGGACCGTTTCACATTTAGTTTCAACGCAATAGCCTTGCTGTCAAATTTTTTACACAGTATAAAGTATTATAGCTGAGATTTTCTCTATTATATTGTATTTTCTTATTACTTCATTAAAAAAACTTTGAGTGGTATTTTTTCAAATAAAATTTTTTTTTTTTTCTCTTAAAGTTAAAATGCTCTGAAAATAAATTCAAAATTAATAATTGGCAACATCGGCTGTCAAATTCAAACGTCACATTTTTATAGTCAATTGTCATTCCGTTTGTGACGGGCGATCGCCGGCTTAGCCGTCATGTAACAACACTGATATAGGATTAGTAAGAATTCAGTGTTGCCAATAGATTTTTTGTCATTTAAAGTCCCTGTATTATGTTGTTTTATCTCATTGAATTCTATTTATGCTGTTCAAAAATTTATTCAACATCACTTATGTGTTCTCTGCAAATCATTATAAATATCGACATATTTTAACAAAATTTTTTAATTGTTACCAAATGAGAGATATCACCGATAATTCGGTGTTGCCAACTTAATTTCAAAGTCACAGGTCACTTTGATTTCATTTATTCTTTCATTTTAGAATTTTTCATTTTCTTAATAGAGATTCTGCGTGTCAAAGAAAACATAAAAATGTCCAATTTTAATTACAATAAACAATAAAAACTCAATTTTATGTGTTTAACCGGATAAGACATTGACATTGAAACATTGCATTTTTAAACACAATTTTTTTAATGTATTTATATCATGCTTTCAAATAAATTTCCTATCAAAGTGTGCTATGGACTTTGAAATAAAGTTGGTAACAGAAAGTGTCAAATATAAACGTCACACTTTTATAGTCAAATTGCATTTATTTCTGACCAAAAATTCAATACAGTTTTAGCAACTTCATTTCAAAGTCACTTTAATTATTGAAAGCATAGTAACTGTATTGATATAACATGTGGTAACCGGAGAATTGAAATATGTTACGGTTATTTAAATTCTATCACCACGACAGAATCATTTTTTAAACTATTATAATAAATTTTAACAACAGAGCAATTTGTGAATATTTACGTTATGTAACAGTTTTTTACATATCACAACAAATTTACATAATAATCGTACCAACCATGAATAATGAATATTAAAAAAAAATCATTGAAATTTGCATGCAATGTGCATTTTTCTTAAATACTAATAAATTCAAAAAATCTGGCAGTTTTAGGTTAAAATTACTTTTAATTTTAGTGAAACAATAGTGTGCGACATAAAAACAAAATTGTTTTCCATTGGAAATACATTTCCTGTTATCTTTCCCCGTTTTTATAACGTTGTAAAATAAATGTTGAAGTTTCTAAAACTTTCCAGTTTTTTATTAATTAAAGCCTTTTTACGACAAAAACACTAGCATGATTTAGAAACTTTCCTCTATAAAAAAAAATATATTACAAAACGTTCAAAGTTTGCATTTATTAATAACCACACAAAAAAGCTCAAGATAGCGTTATCTACAATAAAACAGTCAGCTAGCTAAACTCCCAGATTTTAAAACAAAAATTCGATGAAAAGAATTGAGACAATTAGGAGTTATAGAAAAAAATTAAATTTTAAGGGGATTTGGATATTTTCCAAAAAAAAAATTTTCAAGAACAAATACATGCTAAATAAAAAAATATTTCACTATTTAGCGTTTTGTGTTTATTTAACTATTTGCCTAAAAGTATAGAATAAGAAAATTGGATTTTGGAAAACTTATAATTTTTAAAAACAGCATCACCAATTGTTTTCTTATTGTTTAATACCATGCTTTCACATAAAATTCCGATCAAAGTGAGGTGTGACTTTGAAATTAAGTTGGCAACACTGAATTATTCACGATTGGGCTAAATGAATGACAATTGACTATAAAAATCTGACATTTGAATTTGACAGTTCATGTTGCCAACTTAATTTCAGTCATATGACACTCTAAAACTTAGATAAACTTATAAGAAAAATGTTGTAATTGTATTTAATAAATTTCAATGCCACTTTACTGTGGCAATTTTCTAAACAATAGCCAAATGTATTTGTGCAAATGTGAAATCTACATTTTTGCACAATTTAAACTGCCGTATCTAAATCCATCACTGAAAATCCCCAAACTGTGACGAATGACACAAAATACCCTACTTTTTCTTAATTCATTCAATATTAAAGAAAAACTATAGTCCGGTCAAATTAGTCATAAAAATAGTGGTCAAATAACGAAAATTCCGACAGAGCTAAATTTTGGTGGAGACCTTGGGTATACCATTAGAAATAAAGTGTCAAAAGTCCCCATCGATCCCATGTGTGCTAAAAAAGTTATTCGGGGTCAAAGGTCAATATTTGACGTTTTTTAGATTTTCTTCGAAAACGGCAAGTTTTATCAAAAAAGTAGCTCAGACGAAAATTATAGATCTTAAAATTATCTACAAAATACTTTTTTTCCAAGAATCACCATTCCTGAGATATCGCGATTTTAAAAGTTGAAGGAGTAACGTTCTACATCATATGCACATACAGAGTGCGCCAGAACTCGCGCCCCAAAGACAAATGCCATGTAGGGTAAGGTACCAGGAACATAAAAAAAAATTTTAAAAATTCTATCTATAAAAATTTCGAAGTTATGAGAGTTTAAATTTTGCACTTTGACTCTTATTTATTTCTGTAGAATAAATAATTTTCCACG